GGCCGTGCACACCTGAGGTCAAGCCCTGCGAGGTGGCACCGGAGTGGGAGCTGTACCTCGCCTGCCCCAGGTACTGGGCCTCATGGCTCTCTAAGTCTCCCAGTCTCTCACGCATGGTGATCCTCTTCATGATGTGTTTTTCATTATTTTCATTCATTTATCACTTTCGATATGGTCATCAACTCAATCATTTATCCACATTTTTTATGACTTTAGATTCCCCCAGCTCAGGGTTTTTCCTGTTGCTCTCAGTGCTTTCTTTCTCGTCCTTGCTGCTTTTAATTTTTCCCTTTAAACTTTTAATTGGCATGTAACTATTGTACATACGCATCGGGTACAGTGATGTATTCGCATGCCCATCACCTCGAACAGGTTTCGCACCTCAGGAATCTTTCCGCCAGCTCTTGGGAAATCCACCACGAAGCGTGGGCTAGAGAACACCACAGTGCGGCCCTCCCACCCAGCTGTGCCCGCGCCCACTCCCTTCTCTCCTGCCGGCCTCGCCACTCTCCGCCCTCCCCAGCCGCTGCAAACCACTCTGCTCCACTCTGCTTCCACCAAGTGGACTTTTTTAGCTTTTGCATATAAGTGAGAACATACTGCTTCTAACTTTAAAATTGGATCTTATGTTACGCTTTTCTTGATTTTCTCAAAAGCCTACTTTGCTAAGCTTTCTTCTAACAGTGATTAAATACAGCAAACTACTCTATAAATGTACAGTTTAAAATAGTGAGGTCGTCCTAAGGTATTTATCTTATCTATTTATTTTGGGAAAGAGAAAGTGACTGAAGATGTAATCACATCTTAAACTATAAGCTTTTACTCTTCACTCAAATATGAAAAAACACATTTGAGCATTAACACCAGGGAAAATTGTAAGTTTATTTAATATAATCAGTACCAGATTCTAAAAGAATGACTGGCCAAGGGGAAAAAAAATGAAGAGGCAAAGGTCTTGGGTTTGCTTGACTGCTTCCTTAGGAAAATGAGCTCACCCACATGACTGCTAATATAAGAACTTTGTTTTAAAAAACTGAATTGAGAAATTTAGCTTATTAAAAGCCAACAGATTATGCAATAGCCAACAGATTAAAAGACTGTACACTGAGAAAATGCAGGGTCACCCTTGTAGAGAGGGCAGGCTACACTTTTAGAATACAGGAAAATGAGGAATTTTTTTTATGCTTATCAAGGGCAAGAGCTAAACAGTTGGAACAGCAAAAAAGTTCCTCCAAGAGTATTAGTTACTTTCATTTAAGTGCAGTCTGATTTAAGTTTTGCTTGTTTGGTTTGGTTTTGATGTTGTCCATGCTGATCGTGAACTTGTGGGCTCAAGTGATCCTCCGGCCTCAGCCTCTCAAGGGCAGAGACTACGGGCATGTGCCACAACCTCTGGCTTAACAGTGTGTATTGAAAATGTTTTTATATAAACAAATGCACAGAAAAAAATTCTTCAGCAAGCCACGGACCTCATAAGGCTGGATAATATGGTTTTCTAGTTATGACGGGAAAGGTTAATTTCCAGCTAGGGCTATTTAATGTTTTAAAATTACCTTTGGCACTTAGGGCTTTGTCTAAACAACAAAGAAATCTATACATACTTCATTTCATGGATGACCACATATTCCCTGAGCACTTGTCACTCTTAGACCTATCTGAATGAAGCTTGGTTTTTATAGTGAGATTTTTAAATTTGAGGTTTTCTGTAAAGAGGTTCAAAAACCTTTAATTTTGTAAATTCTATTTAGTCTCTTCCACAACTCTCTTCTATTTACTTAATAAAGTTTAAATTGATATGGTATCTCAAGAGAAAAGCAGCTGATGACAATTCATGTTCACCATAAATGGTTTTTCTTTTCTCATTTGCAATAGAAGTATTTCATTATATAGAACATAAAGTACAATAAAACAATACATATATTAAGTAGCTAATAACATTAGTTATATTAAAAAGAGAAAAGAGACAAATAAACAAGCCTTGGGAATATATTAATGACAATATTTGTTAAATTTGAAGTAAAGCATTATAGTGCAGTAACACAGTGAGTATAAATTATGTGTGTGTTGAAATTTTAGCCAAAGGGATGGCCTGGGAGAATATATATATATATTTTTTTGGGGGGAGGGAGGGGGTTGAATACACACACACACACACATATA